CAAATTTGTATTTATAATATCCTATAAATTACATCAATCAATCCTATAAATTACATCAATCAATATTATGTCAAAAGTTTGCTCAAAAAACATAACTTCACAACACACTGATGTCGTTAGTAATCATTTAACTTAAGTATTAAAAAAAGTTTTAAGAGCATGCATTTACATTGCAAAGTAATTTTATTAAATATTTAGTGTGTGGCCACGTGCAGTTAGAATTAAATGAAAAATGTAGCTCTTTTGTAGTTTTTTTTTTGTTTTGTTATATATATATATATTTAAAAAAACAATAAAAGAAGATGTTTTTAAATAGTTGTTTTGTGTTTTGTATATGTTATCTTGGTGTAAATCAAAATGTTATTAAATTTTTGTTTACAGAAAAGAGTTATAATTTTTAGGCGAAAAAAAAAGTTTAGAAAATGAGTTATGCATTATTTAATATTTTATATATTTTGTACCTGAGTTTACACAAATTTATTATATTATATATAATGAAAAACTTTTTGTAAAGAAAGCCAACGACCAGAAATTAGAAAACAAACAAAAAAACTATTTTTTTACTTTCCTATATTAAAACTGTCCATACTTGTTAATGTTCGAATTTAAAAAGTGTGTCTGGTGTCAAAACTTAAATAGTGTGCATTAAATTATCATTTTATTAAATTAAATTTTATTATTTAATTTATTATTATTATTTATTATTATTATTAAACTTAAATTATTATTTTATGTAAATAAAAAAAATGTAAAAAAACTTTAAAAAAAAGACGATTTTTCTTATTTAACAGCGATTCAATTTATTTACGTTAAACCATAGTCAATAGAAGTTATACCTTATAACGTTATACCTTATATATGTTATAACTTCTATTGACTAAGGTTAAACTAAAGCGCAAAGTTGTTTATTGTTTGCTTTAATTACTTTTTTCAACGATTTCTTTTATTATTACCGCTGACCTCGTGTTTGTTTTGCGCGTACACCAAAATAAACAAACCGACAAGAAAGCAAGTTTAAAAAAATGTTGTAATAAATGGAGACAATCGAACTAAAAAAAGTGAACAAAAATGAACAAAATGAGTCGTTAGAAATAAGAAGAGCGAGAGATCTTTTAATACACTAAAAAAATAAAACAATCCTTTGGATAAACCTATTACGCACTAATTATCTTCTTGTATGAAATCAACATTCCATCGCGAGGCAGATTGTAAAATTATACCATTTTTATACAACAATATGATATACTGTTGTATAAAAGTATATATGTAAAAAAATATAATATATTTTTTCTTTTTTTAAGAAAAAAGTTTTAAATAGTTTTTAAAAGTTTGAAACAAAAGTTTAACAAAAAACAATTAGTAAATATAAGGACTAATACAATGGAACTTATAAAGGGTCATCCATAAAGGACGTCACGCCAAGTTTAACTAATGGCAAGAAGTCGGAGATTGTTGGCTCTCATGTGCATAGATTTTTAGAGCGCTTTATAATCATTAAAAATCTCCACAGATGGGAGCCAATAAACTTCTGCTTCTGGTTACTATTTAAATTCTGAATGACTCCTTTATGGATGACCCCGAAGGTCTTCTGTTTTTTAAGTAGCAAGTAACAAGTAGCAAGTAACAAGTAACAACATTTTTTTCATAAATCAATAAATGAATAAATAATAAAAAATAAAAAAAATAAAACTAAATTAATTAATTTTATTTACTAAGGTTTAACGACTTTCTAAGGCGTGTTCAAATCTCAAAGCTCTCAAAAAAGAAAAACAAAAAGAAAAGCAAGACTTATACTACCGTGGTTGACATATAGACTAACGGACGCAATCTAGTTTCAACATAAATTGTGTGTAACTTTGGAGTACTTATATCCAACAACCTCAAAATACAAGGCTAGCAGCTCTCCATTTCTGTCTCTCTATCAGCTCTCCAGCTATGGAAAAAACTGTACCAACTTTACATTAAACTGCATCTAAAGTATTTTGTTTTTTGTAAATTTTTTTAAAATAGTTTTGTATTTTGTAAATTTCTCTTCTCAAAGGTGTCCAACAACGCGCAACGTCATTGATTAATTACGATCAAAAATCTAAACTCGGATTAACTACACTCGAAGAACGCAGTCACCTAATACAGCAATACAAAGTTGCTTATTAGTTACGATTAAAATTGAGATTGTGAGAAATGTTTCTTTAAGGTTCTCATTCTTCTTAAAAGATCAAGAAACGGTAAAAATTAAAGCTTGTAAAATAGAAGAAAACTTTATGGAAGATATTTCGTATCTATCTAGCCTTTCTTAACCAAATATACTCAAAGAGTTTGTTGCCTATTTTCTAGTCTATATGCATTCTTATTCGAATTTTTAAACACAATTTTAGTAACTGTCGCAGAAGGTGAACAACCATTAGGTTAACTAAAATTGAGTTAAAAAAATGATTGTTGGGCCACTGTTGAAAAAAAATGATTGTTGGGCCATTGTAGAAAAAGAGCATCGAAAAAGAATTGGATAAAACTCGTCGTAAGATCAAATAACAATAATAATAATGAAAATAATAGAAACAATAACACAGGCCAATAAAAATTTTTTTTCTGGTGCCGAGCAAACAATTAGTTTTTTGTAGTATTTCTCATTTTGATTTCAAATTTGCAGCTCATTTTTTACCCTCACGTCAAGTTGTAAAGATATTTGGGTTCAAATCTTTAGTATTTAGGGTAAAGTCCTTAATATTGTCAAAAAAAAAGTTATTCAAAGTATGTCAACCTAGGTCTCAAAAGAAGCGTATTTTCATAGAGATTTCAAAAATGTTATTCGTCTGTGATAAAAATATTTTAATTTTGTATTATTGCTGAAAAACATTTTGTTAAAATATTTTTAAGGGTCTTCAGCGTTTTTTCACAAAATTTTTTTGTCAATGAGTTTTATTTAAAAATATTTATGTTTTCCAAAATTATTAATTTAGATGCGGTTATTAAAAATATGGATGTAAATTAACAAAAGTTAGAAATAAAAAATTCGTCGTTAACTTGTATAATTGAGGAGCTCAGCGGAAAAGTGGTCTAACCCACATTTTTGTAATTTTCCAGATAAATGTTGAGGAAAAAGTGCTGCGACCTATAATCATATTTACTTTAACAGAAAAATAAATTTTAAATTGTGAAAAAATTGTCTTTCCCACAATCAACATGGCAAAAAAGAAAAGCTCAGATTTAGAAGGCTTTTCATCACAATCTTTTTTTTCTAATGAAAAAAGATTGTGATGACTCAGATACTGATAACTTTTTTATGATGTTAGCGAAGGTATGTATATAATTAATGCAGCATTAAGATATACTTTTAATTTTTGAGTTTATCATACAATAATATAGTTTCTAGCTTCAACGTTGTTTAGGCAGGTTTTCTTCTTCTAGCTGTTTTAAAACTGACACTTTTTATTGCTGATTCAAGTATTGGGGATCAATATGTTGAATAAAACACAAGATCTATATCTATATTAACAGAAGTTGATGGTATGCACTAATTTTTTAAAGATAAATAGACTTATACAAGAAACTTTTCAGTCCCTATTGTTAAGCCCTAAGACTGTTTATATTGGTGTTAGGTTTAGCATTAGACTAGCTAGGATCATTTGTTGTGTTAAGAATTCTTTTCTTATTAGAAAATAATTTTTACCTAACATTTTCATTGTAGATTCAATTGTTACCAACCAATTGTTACCAACCAATTGTTACCAACCAATTGTTACCAACCAATTGTTACCAACCAATTGTTATTCAACCTTGTTGGAGAAGTAGGAGAGAAAGCTTCTCCAAGGAAGTACAAGAAGAAACCCAGTCTCTTATGAGGAAAAAAAAGACAGACATAGTCGTAAGCGAGTTGCCCATCCAGAACAACACAAAAGAAATATTCTGAAACAGAAAAGGTCAACAGGGAAGGATATAATGCAACAAAGAGCAAAGTAGTTGAACCAAAGATTTTTATTAACAGAGATTGTGGTTGCAATCTAGAGTGCAGCAGTTATGCAGCAGTTGCTCGCTTTTTCCAATTTTTACACCATGAACTGGGATTTAAAAAACGCCTTTGAAATGGGTTCTATTGATGTAAAAGAAAAACACAGGACGTATACTGCATCAATTAACTTCAGTAGGGTAAATAGTCGTTCCTATAAACTAACTGATACATGTGGAAATGTTAAAAAGATTTGTAAAACTTACTTCAAAGACACATTGCAGATCCCTGATGGTACAATAACAAATATTTTAGCAAGGAAAAAAACAGATGGTATACCTATCGAAGACCCCAGGATTGAATTGGCTCCACAAAATGAAAGTAGTGATAAAGATACCAAATACCTTTTAAATTTATTCGCTTATTTCCCTCGTACCAATCCCACTATAGCCGATAGGACAACTAGTGCAGAAACTATTTGCCTCCAAAATTTACGAATGTTGACAATGTACGAGAAATATAATTGCACCCCACTTTCAATTATTGTATTCCAACACATATTCAATATAAAATTCAATTTAAATTTTTACCATCCGCAATCAGATACATGTCAAAAATGTGACCTATTTAACAATAAAATAAAGCATCTTTCAGAGGGTGAAGAAATAAATACTGTTAAGAGGGACCTTATTATTCATTAAGAGCTGTAAAAAAAAATTAAAAAAATGAAAGAAGATACACTAGATGCACAAATCCAAACAAGAGGATATTAATTAGCTCTTTAGCGATTTTCAAACGATTTTTTTTTCTTATTTTATTTTTCGCAAATGTCTTTTACATCTTTAAAAATTCGATTTTTAGTGGTGAGTGTATTACAATTAAGAAAATAATTGAACTCTAAACATTGCGATTTTGTAGCAATGTGTCGCTAGCTACATATCGTAGCTTTGTAGCTAGCTACAAAATATATACAAATCTATAGCTGGTTGATAGCTATATATCAAAATTTTTTAGACAACGATTTTATTACAATATGACGCTTGGTACAATAGCCAGTGGATCTACAGCTTATTAAGCTAGCTGTCCTCATAGCCAAATCTAAATAACAACTAATAATAACTATATTACTCTTCATGTATCTCTACACTAATAAATAATAAATAAATCACATATGCTCTATTGTAATATATTTCATAATATTATTTATGTTTCTATATCAATTTTTATTTCACA